GGTGAATACCGCGGGTAAAAGCTAGTAAATAAATAAAACATAAATGCTCAAAAATTCGTAAAGTCGTTACGTGGCCACAATGTATATATGTATATATGTATGTGCAAACCATTAATATTTACCACCAATGGAATGTGATCGTTGGTAGGAATTATCATTTGCACTATTGTTGTTTCCAACTGCATTAAAGTGATTAGGTGCAACGTTACTCCCTCCAATGTTGTTCCAACCTTTTTTTCCAATATCTGTCACCTGAAAACATGAAAAAAAACAACAAATTATATTGAAAATGCAACTATACAATTCCGGAATTCACACCTAAATTAAACACAAACCTTGTAAGCTACATCGGAAACGTGACCTTGGACGGTTTCTAGCAAACCGCCGTCTTTGATCTAGAAAATTATTGCAAAACATAAAAATAAACTACACAACATTGTAATCAAACCCAATTTCAAAATTACTGAAACGAAAGAATGATTCAACAAACTAGCGTAGATATCACAAAAGCAAGCGCGACAAAGGAATACTATCGTAAAAATTAAGTATAAAAATACCAGAACAGACCTTTGACGAAGCCAAGTTTACAGTCGTTACAGCTTTCTCCTTTGCGGTGCTGGCAATTTTGGATGCCCCTGCAGAAAGTAAACTCCAACCCTATGCAATAAGAATAAATTTACCAATTTCATACGCTAGTTTTAATTAACCTTTATCCTACCGATGCCAATGATGAAAGCGTCGTGTCTATAATTTCCTGGGATTGAGTTTTCGTTGGTGGATCGCAAGAATACCCGAAACCAGAATACTTTCCACCTTGGCTTGGAGGCAAGTTGCTGGAATTGAAATTAATAATGAATGTAAATATGAGCCATTCTTTTGTAAGTCGGAAGGATTTCGCAAAAAAAATGTTCATGTCTCTGACCCGCTTAAATTTTTTTTTGTGAGTTCTATACATGAAATAAGCTAACACGTGTTCGAGGATTTTTTTTTCTTTGGAGATATATGTCGAAGTATGAATTTTTTCGCGATTCTGACTAATCACGCACTTCTTCAAATCGTTATATCCCGGGTTCTGCTCATCGCAGAGACTTCATCTTAACGTCATTTTAAATCTGAAGAAACGGGTATAACATTTCTACATATAAGATGGTCAAGATGGACTTTGATTTGCATAGTGTAGTAAATTAGGGATTTACAATTATACCATCGTAATCCTTGTTTAGCTCTCTATAAAAAACGTGGTTCAAAAAAATGGGTATTTTTCAAGAACTATTTTTAAAATATTTTTGTTTATGACGAAATGGTTTATTTTGTGAGAATCAACAATTTTTTGTAATTTGATTCAAAAACTTATTATCTCTGAAGAAAAAAAAGGAGAAAAAAATAACTCGAACACGTTTTAGCTTTTTTCAAGTATAGAACCCATAAAAAAATTAGAAGCCAATCGAAAGTGTGACACCAAAATTGGTGTCCGATATGAAAAAAGAATGTCTATATATATGTATGCATGTATTTGTAAGTACCCCGCAAACCATTTTTTCAGAGTATTCTGAATTATTGAGAAAGTTTAAAGGATTCGTAAAGATCTCATCCGATGTTTTGCAGAATTTAATAAAACAAAATAAACCACACTTCGATTCTTTTACAAAATTTCGGAAGAAAATCGGTAAAGTAAATAAAATTACAGTTCAAAAAACTAAAACCTCCCTATTATAATTGCCATTCGTACTGTCATAGGAATGTAACTGGAGAATAGAAATCGCTGCTAATAAAAGGAAGGTACGAAAATAATGCTGCTATGTGAAGAATTTCTTGCAGTTTTCCAGAATTTTCTATATTTTCCGTACAGAAATTTCTTTACGAGTTCGTGTCAACCACTTCATATAATTCTCTTTGAAAATTCGTAAAAAATCGTTACAGAAATGAGATACTCCTAAAGATTTCTTTAAGATTTCGGGAACTTTGGTTCGCAGGGTAAATACAAAATGTATAGTATGTGTGTGCATGTGTACATATCGGTGCCGACAAATATTAACAGGGATAGTCGGGAGTATACTTTACAAGAAAGCTATATAGATTTTGGCGATATTTGCGGGAATATTATTGAATTATGTCTTTCACACTGATTTGTGAATCGCATTTAAACGTCTTCACCAACATTCGCAAGCGTTAGAATTAAGTAACCTGTTATTCTTTTTTGGCACATGTGTAAATATATTCGCTTCAATATAATATTTACTTTTTTATTTAAACTGCAAGGACAGAATTTTATAATGGAATCGGATTTCTGTACGGGGTACGGATTGCACAGCTTTAAGATAGGAAAACCGGAACCATGCAAACATTTGCAAGACTTAATCCCCCTTCTCAGCCCCAAACTCAAGCGGTTATTGCTATTGAACATAGAGCATCTGCATCAAAAATAAAATTTTGAAAAAAATGTCGCTTACATATTTTTGGTGGTTAGGGTGGTTAAATGCGCGTTCTAACTTAGGGCTCGATATTTATCAGACAGGTTCTGGAATTCACTTCCGAGTGAATTTCAACCCCTGCCAATATGAATTCAAAGCGAATTTTATTGAAATTCACTCGGAAGTGATTTGCAGAACCTGCATGTACATACATATATACTATATTTGTCTTTAGCAGTAAAACTTACTCAGGCCGTGATGCGTTCTCAATTTTTCGCCGCTCGAAAAACTCTTCTTTTTGCTCCTTGAACGCTTGCGTATTAAATTGCTGATAACTGTTTGTATTACATCCAGCTCCCATATTTGCTTCTGTCTGATAACCACCGTCAGAACTATGAGACAAACTGCTTTTAGAATGGGACATATATCGAACATTTTTATCATCTAAGCTTCCACCGCCGAGGCCACTGGGGACAGAAATACGTTGTTTTGCTTCCGAAAAGTCCCATGATTTGCCCTGAGCCAAAGAAGATATTTTGTCCCGGTACAAGGCAGCAGCATTAGAATTGTAACGTTGAACAATGGGTGCACGATCATCCCAATCAGGTTGCTCCTCTAGAAACTCTCGAGCCTTGCTATTTCCGCCAACTTTCATTTTTTCCAATTCAATATCCTTCCACTTATCCATAGTGACAGAACGCACAAACGATATGTGCACGCCTAGGCCTCGATGTTTGCCTGAGCATTCCAAACATATCCATATACCATACGTCACTGAAACCCACTGGGGATTATGTGTACCGCACTCAAAGCATTTCTACATATAAAAATAATTAGTGATAGTAATGTGGCCATTTATATAAAGTTCACCAGTGAACCGGAAACGAACCGAATTTTCGTCTTGTGGTTTTAACTCTTGAAGGAC